AGAGGAGGCACTCGGGCGCTGCTCTGCCGCTGGAGTTTGACGCCTTTGCTCTGTGCATTCGGTGTAAACGTTAATGAAGGTGTGAGGCTGTCAGAGGGGGAGAGAGAGCCTCTGGACACCGCCTGACGCAGTCCGGCTCCGGCTCCCATGTGCTGGGGTTTGCTGTCCCCCCCACACGGTGCCGGGCAGCGGGAGGGAGTGATATCCCGCCCTCCCCACCCCTCGGTTTGCTGGAGAGCCGCTGGTGTTGGATCCCCAGAAGCGCCTCTCCATTCACCGCAGAGAGGAGGACAAAGAGAGAGGATGAAAATGCTCCGCTTTCGCAGTGCAAGTGTCAAGTCGTTGAACCAGGAGATCAGATGCACCATCAGACTGCTGGACGACACCGAGCTGCCCTGTGCCATCCAGGTACAGGGTCCCAGGCTGTTTGGGCTTCATGTTTTGTTTCAAAGGCAAACACTCACACAAACGCACACTCACTCACACACTCACTCACACACTCACACACACACTCACTCACACACACACTCACACACACACTCACACACTCACTCACTCACACACGCACACTCACTCACTCACACACTCACACACTCACTCACTCACTCACTCACTCACACACACACTCACACACACACACACAAACACTCACTCACTCACACTCACTCACTCACACACACACTCACTCACACACACACACACACACACACTCACTCACTCACTCACTCACACACACACACACACACACACACTCAATCACTCACACACACACACACTCACACACACACACACAAACACTCACACACTCCCTCACATACACACACACTCACACACAAACTCACACTCACTCACAAACACTCACACACCAGCTCAGATGATAATAGCTTCAATGTGATGGGGAGGTTTCCTGTTCAGGTCTTGTACAGTGCAGTACAGTACAGTACAGTACCAATCTGCTGCTTATGCAAAAGGTTTTTGTGTTGTTCTGTTTGCTGAGGATAATGTGATCAGAGCCGCTGCTTTACAATCTGTCCTTTCCACATAGAGAGTAATATTGAGAAGATGCTGTAAGTGTACACTGTGTCCTGTTACAGCAATAGGCTGTAGAGGCTCAGGGTACTGTACTTCCCATTCAAACTGTTGTCAGGGATTTGCGACTCCAAATTGTTATTGCACTTTGTTTCAAACAGGAATCGTGATGCTGAATTCTTGAAACTGTGACAAATTGACCTGCTTAGGATTTAAAGTGCGTGTGTTCACACAGCCCTCGCCCTTACCTGATACAGTGGTATTGTTTTTAAGTCGTAAAGGAAGAGGAAGGTGGTCCAGTATTGGTGTGTTTACCTTGTGAGAAACATACACACACACACACACACACACGTGCAGCGTTTGTGGGTTCCCTATAAATCGCAATTTTGTGTTCTTACAGTTTAAAGTAAACAATAATATTTTATAGCGGAATTTCTCTGTGTGTGAGAGAGAAACAGGGAATTCGTTCCAAATTTGTCTTTTGAGCTTAATTTACAGGTATGTTTTCATATAGCACCCTCTGGTGAAAATGATGAATCCTGAATTTAAAATACATGTTTGAGTGCCTACATATAATTTTGGCAAAATTTGCTGATGCACAAATGATTTTTTTGGTCAGTGGCTGTCTGATACATGTGGAAACTCATCTCTACTCGTAAAGATGTACAAACCAAACCGAGTTGCATGCATTCCACCCACATGTGGAAATACCCTTGTACAGGAATGGAATCCCTGCTCACTCCCTGGAGGAATGCATCCTATTTATGAAGACCTTAGACTCAGACTAGCAAGAGCCAAGATTTGGGGACCTGTTTGGGCTTGCGGGATTAACAGGAGCTGAGTGGGAAGAAGCTCTGCCCCCAGCGACTAGTCTGCCATCCAAGACCAAACAATAAACAAGGCTTATGTGCTATCATCAGCAGTGCGCTGGTGAACTGTGGACCTGCCTGGCTCAGCACCCAGACTATTGAGACCACATCAGAGGGTTGACTAAATTCTCACATCCCAAGCCAGTTCAGATCCAAAGAGAGCCCACTTACCTACAACAACAACAACAACAACTTAGATTTATATAGCGCCCTCCACACCGGAGGGCGTCTCAGAGCGCTTCACAGTAACGGATCCTGGGGCCGAGCCAGGGGGAGGGGGAGGAAGGTGACCAAAGGCGCGGTTGAAAAGAAAGGTCTTCAGCAGAGATCTGAAAGTGGGAAGGGAGGGAACGAGGTGAAGGGAGTGAGGAAGGCAGTTCCAGAGCCTCGGGGCATAGTGGCTGAAGGCACGGCCGCCGAGGGTGGAGCGGAGGACTCGGGGGACGAGGAGGCCAGACCTGAAGGAACGAAGGCAACCGGTGTTGTTTTGAGGAGAGAGGAGGTCAGAGAGGTAGGGGGTTACAGAGGAGTGCAGGAATACGAGGGTGAGGATCTTGAAGTCGATCCTCTCTGGGACAGACAGCCAGTGCAGTCTGGCAAGGACTGGGGTGATCGGGGAGCGGAGTTTGGTGCGGGTGAGAATGCGGGCGGCAGAATTTTGAATGATCTGGATTTTATGGATGGTAGTGGATGGGAGACCGGCGAGGAGGGTGTAAGAGTAGTCCAGCCGAGAGGTGACATAGGCATGGACCAGAGTTTCAGCGGCTTTTGGGGAGAGGAATTGGCGGACACAGGCAATGCGACAGAGGTGGAAAAAGGCGGTGCTGGTAAGGGACCGGATGTGGGGGAAGGAAGGATAATTGGGGGTTGAAATTTCTGTGAAGTGCAGTGACTGCGTATTTGTAGGCAAAAGCTAATTTACACACAGCATGCCCCACAAGCAGTCTTGAAGAGAATGACCAATTTATTTGGAGGATTCCTCGTCAGCAAGTATATTGAGTCTAGACCCTTTTTCCCAGTATTTTTGAGATGAGAGATCTATCACTCTGCTTTCTTTCAGAAGTCTCAATTGAACCATAAGGATCATCTAATAATTGCACAAGGCCCATCTCTTTTTAGGCACAGATTGGTGCTGTACATATCAAAAATAAGTGCTTCTTGAATAGTATGGGATAAATATCTTTGCTTTATTGTCATCACTTTATTGTCATCGCACTTTTATGGAATGATTTAATAGAAGCAGAAAGTGCAGGAATAGCACACGGGTTTTCTCTACTTTGGACTCTGACTTTAACTTAGACTCTAAGACTGTCTTAGAGGATTGTTACTGCTTTGAAAATTTCAGTTGATCTGTAATTTGTGTACCAGGTACTGAAGGCAAATATATCTGTCAAATAGCTGATGAGCAAACTTTGAGGCTTGGAATGACAACTGCTTTGAAGGCATTACCTGGGGTCTGGGTTCGGGAATACAGTACACGCTCATATCTCATATCTCTTGTTTTTCTGCACAATCGAGATGTTGTTTAGCTATACTGAACATGGAATATGGATTCCTAGAAACATCACAAAAATATATTACAATCAAGGCATTTAGATTGTAGATTACATGAAGACAGTTTATAACATCATCTGTGTATCAGTTATAATAATTGTTGTGCTTGACATGATGCTTAATCACTTTGTAGCAATGTATCAAATTGCTTCAAAGCATTTACTGTAAAGTGGTGTGACTGAATTTGTAGGTGAATGCAGCAACTAGTTTGCAAATAAACAATATCCCACAAACAGCCATAAAGTGAATGATTCATTTTTTTCGGGGATTGTTGGCCAGGACACCAAGAAAAACTCCTTTCTCTTTTCAAATAGCGTTCATCTGAACAGGCAGGTAGAACCTCAACTTAGCGACTCATCAGAAGGATGACACATCCAACAATACAGCACAACCCAGCATTGCGTAGAATATCAACTGAGACTGTACGAGTTTCGAGTCTGGCCGTGGAGCTTGAACCCACAATCTTCTGACTCACAGGCGAGAGAACTACCAACTGAGCGAGGTTGACATGCAGCCTGGACTGTGATCTCAAAAGTAATTGTATTATTGAGAAGTCGATGAATGGAATCAGGTTGTTGGTAGCTGTTATATGTGCGTGGGTACCTTATCAACTTATGTTAAATTATTAATGTCTGGGATAGAACAATAGTAGGCCTCCTTTGTAACATTGTTTGCTTAGAAGTAATATAAAATACAGAATTAATTCACATCTGTTGTTGATCAATCAATCAATTGAATGATGTTTAAAATCACATGTTGTTTGACTTCATGCTCACCAAGATGGTAGCCTACTCTTCTTCAGTCATTGTCAACTTGTGTGATCTCAGACACTGTGTCATCAGGCGCTTAAAAGCACAGATTCAGGCAGAGCCTATTCAGTCCATCGAGTTTGCTCCGATAGTTGATAAGATCAAAGAGAATCTTTTAATCTATTTCCCGCCTTTTCTCTGTATCCCTTCAACCCTTACTTTCCAGCTATCTGTCTTACATGCCAATTGATTGTGCCTCTATGGCTTTCTAGGGAAACCACATGATCCATCAAAGCTGAGCCTGTCCTTCCCTAAGAAAGCTGATGCATTGCTGGGCAATATCAACTGAAAGCCAATGTAATCAACTAATTCCCTTTTATGGGATGGATCTTTGGAATCACCTGTAATGATTTGCTTTGGCTGCTGCAGGAGTGTATTAGAACATGCCCCATCTCCATGTCATTCTGCTGTTGATATTGATTATGCCATAGATTTGGCCATGGGTGTTTAAGTTGCCTTGAACTGAATGTGGTTTGGCACCAAATGCAGAGCCAACAAAACAAGGCAACATTGCATCCTGGAATGAATGATTAATGGTACTGTACCATATTATCACTCTGAGCTCATCCTGTTTTTTCCTTCACTCACAACCCCCACCCCCGCCTCCAGCCATCCAGTCCATCCAAGATAATTGGCAGATCAATATTCAGGTACCAAATGCTCATAAATGTATTCTGGATGAGACATCCAGTCAGCCATGGTGCCACTGTGGAATGTCTCTGAGTGCTTTATGGCTTAACAGTTATCTGACATTATTGAAGAAAACATCTTAAGTACTGAACAAGGTGACAAATGAGAGTAATAGATGCCTGATTCTTTTTAAAACAAATAGTGTAAGTCCTTTCCCACCAATTTACCAGGTCATTGATAATATTGTGGTTTAGTTTGATGGTGCTTATGAAACAAAGAACATCCTTTTGTTTTGTGAAATAGATGGCTATTGTGTCACACTTTGATGTTTATTTAGTCCAGAGAACAACATTTTGGCTGATTTTTCTTCCTTGTTATTTCAAAAGTTTTGCTGATAAGAAATAATAATGAAATTCTTTATTTGTTTTGCATTACATTACATACTAGACTATAGTAACAAAAAATGTTTGTATTTGTTTTAGTGAATAATGCTTTGGCATTCTTTCCCAGTGTTTTA